AGAGAGAGAGAGAGAGAGAGAGAGAGAGAGAGAGAGAGAGAGAGACAGAGACAGAGACAGAGAGAGGCACAGAGAGGCACAGAGAGACACACACACACACACACAGAGAGAGAGAGAGAGAGAGAGAGAGAGAGAGAGAGAGAGAGAGAGAGAGAGAGAGAGAGAGAGTCTTGGTCGCTGTTGCTGGCGGCCACAGCCTCCAAACCTGTGCATACAAACTTGTTGTATGAGACTTTGATTTTCTCCGAGCAAGTTCTGTGTCAGTATGTCGTTTTTTGGTTATCCAGCTGTTGTGTGATGGGGCGTGCTCTCGATGTGATGTGAAGCTAATAAGTCATTTCTATTTAGTTTTGAGCATTTTATGGAATCTATCTGTGTTCACCAACATAGAGAAGCTTGTTGAAAACTCCTTTCTCAGTGTTTTCAACTATCCCTTCCCTCCCTCCCCTCCCTCCCCTCCCTCTCCTCCCTACCCTCCCTCCTCTTCCTCCTCCCCCTCCCCCTCTCATAGCTCTAGCTTCAAGCTTGTCTTAGATCCCATTCAATTTCTGCTTTTTTTTTGGGTGGAAATTACCTTCTTTTTTGTTCCCCAAAGGATTCGAGCAACCGTTCGCTTCCCTGCAACATGGACACTGAGGGCGATGCTCCGCTGGCGCTGCTATATTCGTTGACCGGAACACATGAACCTACCTCTGAAACTGGCCAGATTCATGCTTTCTTCGCACAAACAAAGCACCAGCGGAGCCCGCGCCGTTAGTCCTACACTTGCAAGATCGTTGTCATGACAAAGCTTTTGAACCTCTCTATCGCCCTCCCTCCTCCCTACCCGTGCCCAGGCTGCTGCTCATGTCCTCCACTCCCGTTTTTTTTTTTTTTTTTTTTGTACTTCTCAAACCACCGATGCCTCCAAGCCTCCTTTCACCGAGGCGGAAAAGAACTGCATTGCCAAAGCGCCAGGGCGGCTTTTTTCTTTCTTTCTATTTTGGCTGGCTCCGCTTGGTCCCGTGATGCCCGGCCTCCGAAGAAATGTGGTATATAGGTGATATGGGTTATATGGTTATACGGTTATCATCGTGAAAGGTAGTGGTGGTTTAAGTTGTTGTTGTTTTTGTTGTTTTTAAATTTTTTTGGTATAATTTAAAAAAGCTGCCTTTTCGTCGTCGGCGGAAATCGATATATTTTTCTCTCACCTCGCATATTTTTAACTGCCGCTCTTGCTTTTTGTTTTTTGTTTTTGTTTTTTTTTTGCAATTTTTGCAGGTACCTCAAGTTGTCATGTACCGCATCGATCGGCCAACATCGTGGATTGCCAAACACGTGCTCAAGTTTAGTCCAAAGCACGTCTCTTTGGTCAATGTCATCATGCAAGACCAAGTGAGAGCTTTTTTCTTTTTTTTTCTTTTTTTTTTTCGTTTTTTTTTGTTGTGAAGGTAGTTTTGAGCCTTTTTCTGACCTTAAACAACCAATACTAGGCCCAGCTATTGGCCGCGGAAAAAAAAGAAGAGTAGAAACGTTTCTAGTCGTTTGAATTTGGGTGCTCCTGTAGTGGCCCGTACATCGCCTAAAATCGTGGCTTGTTAACGGGCACGAGTTTAGGAAGTACTGGTGGGTAAAAAAAAAAAGAGAAAGGTTTTTTTCTGACCTTTCTTAAACTTTAATAGTTCAGTTAAATTATTTAAATAATTTATAATTATTTTAAGTAATCTATTAAAATCTAAGTAATTTAATCATATTTAATGTTTAATTTTTAGTTATTCTGACTTATTCATTTAGTTGAGGCATACTCACACCAGGCGGTCGAAATCACATAATCACAAAAAGAGTGGCCAGGTTGAGTTTTTGCAAACGGGGACTCTGATCTGGCCGCTCATATTGCAATTTTGAATTTTGTGATTTTGAGGGCCTATTGTGAGTGTGCCCTTATTGAATTATCTCTTTTTTTCAGTATACGAAATTATTAATACCTGATTATTTAAAAACAAAGCGAATAGTTCAGCTCCCTTCTATGCCCACGCTCAACACAGTCGTTTTTTTGTGTGCTACATCAGCTTTTATGTCTTTTTCCCCCCTCAGAAAGGGCTATGATCTTTCTGGCTCGATTGCACTGCCTGGTTCATGTAGGATCGCCCATCTACCATGTGCGGGTACTGGACAGCCCACATATTGCCATCCGGCCCACATCCTATGCCTCCGCTTCACGCCGTCATAGTTTCGCCTCCGCTTTCTTTTTTGAAGTTTTTTCCCTTTTTTGGGGGGGGTGGAAGTGGGTGTCGGTGTTGCCATCAGAGAGAGCTTTTGATGGCAGCCACTGGCCGCAGCGCGCCGAATAAGTCGGAATAACTATTTAGTATTTATACCTAGGTTACCAGAGTGGCCTGGGACCACTTGCCCGGCCGGGCCAAAAAAAAAAAAAAAAATCAATTATATTTTTTGTTTTGAATTCGACAAAGAATTTTGATATGACCCCGAGGCAAAAGTTGTTCGGTTTATTTTTCTGCATAACATAGTTTTTTTCGTTCTTTATTTTTTTTTTGCTGGGACCTTCGCTGGTCCTTGCACGGACGGGCCACCCGGGAGTGTGGAGTCGAATGAAAGTGCGGCACGGAGCAGCACCTAGTCAGGACCGTGTCCCGCAAATCGACTAGTTCAGGTACCAAGTGGCCACTTACCACAGAGACCCTTGACAGCAGGAAACTGTCTCACATTTGAGTGTGTGTGTGTGTGAGAGAGAGAGAGAGAGAGAGAGAGAGAGAGAGAGGCGATGAAGACACAAGTAGCGCAAACGAGCTTTCTTCAGAAGAAAAGCGCGACAATGCAAAGCTTGCTGGCGTATGCCTCGACCGGTTTCGATCTCATCGCCAGTATGAGATCATCGTCAGGAGGCCTCTCGACCGAAGTCCAAAGGAATTTTGCTTTAGTAATCCGTTTGACCGCTTAAAATTTAAAATTCATTCTGCTCATATTTCAATTCACAAGTATAATTGGAGTATTACGTAAATCCGAAGTCTCCCATAAATGGCAATAATAGCTCTTTGTTTTTTGAAAGGATGAAGGGTTTTGATACACTGTACAATTTTTGCACCTGAATTATCAGACACCTGTAAATAAAATTAATAAATATATTACCGACTCTGCGGCCACGTAGACCACGGCCCAAATCTGGCTGGGCTCTTTTAAGTGGTGGTGGTCTGGGGTGGGGAAAGGCTTAAACTTTAAAGGTGTTAACAGCAAGGCTGTTTAGCTCGCCGTGCGGGCACCCAACTTGTCCCCGGATATGTGCCCAGGTGCCTGGGGCAGGCATGAACCCCACACAGGGTACTGGCCAGC